CTTTTTTACGAAATCAAATGGACACGTATTAGCAGGTTGTCATAAAAAGCAAAAATGTATTTTTTTTATGAAAGTTCTGAACGTAAATTGTAACTTAAAAACAGTTTGATTTATTTTAAAAAGAGTTGAACTCAATAAAAATACCTTTAAATCTTCAAATTATCTCGAAAACTAATCGTTACAAAAATTTTTTCAACAGAGTTGTAAAGGTATTCGAAAACCTTTAAGTGTATATGTATAATGACATATAATAATTATTTTATCCAGCTTACAAATAGTAGTTATCACAGGTAACGTTATAAATTATTCACAAAACTGATGAAAAACCATTTCACTTCTCAATGCGTATTGTCTAAAAAGTCAATTCAAAGAAACTACACGTATAACTATAACTCCAGACAATTTATCTCCATCTACGTCGTTGTTACTCGCACTAACCATCACGTTCACAGCCTACTTACAGAATCTTCATCAACATTGCAAGCAACTTTGATTCGTCAATAAAAACACAACTTCCAACTTCTCAAGAGAATGTTGAGATATTATTCAATTTGAAGTGAATATTTAGAGCTAGGAATCGCACATTGAAAGATGTGAACTTCGGAATTTTGAGGTTTGGCGTTCGTAGGAGAGCGGCAGCTGGTTAACGGAAAAGCAGAAACAGGAATATATTGAGTTTGTCTCGCTAGGTTTTAGAACAGACCAAACTGTCTAGCTACTGAGGAAACACCTTTTAATAGTTACCTTAATAACTAAATATAAAAAATTCGGTTTTTATACTATAACGTGAGCACAGTTACGAATATATACTATAAATGCGAAAGTCACTCACTTAACACTCACTCATTTATGTGTGTTTCTTCGTACTGGTGAGTCCTATGAATCTAAAATTCGGTATATAGGTGCTTCTCAGCTTTGAGATGCGCAATAAGAAAGGATTTTCAAATCATCCAACTGAGAGGCGGGGATAATAGTGACGCGTTTATCTATGAAAATTACTTTTCATCACTGTTTCTCCGTTCCTATATGTTCGGAGGCTGAAATTTTGTATGTTGAATCGTTTTATGTTGTAGTTGTGCAATTAAAACGGATTTTTAAATATTCCAACTGAGGTTCTTACCTGGGGATGAAAAGGGCGTGTTTACATGTGAAAATTACTTTTCATCACTGTTTCTCTGTAGCGCTATATTTTCGGAGGCTGAAACTTTGTATGTAGAATCGTTTTATGTTGTAGTTGTGCAAAAAAACAGGATTTTGGAATATTCCAACTGAGGTTCTTCCCTGGGGATAAAAGGGGCGTGTTTACATGTTAAAATTACTTTTCATCACTGTTTTTCTATACCGCTATATTTTTGGATGCTGAAATTTTGTATGTAGGTTCTTTTTATGTTTTTGATGTGCAATAAGAATGGATTTTTCAATATTCCAACTGGGGCGCCAGCCGCGGGAAAAAAGACGCGTTTATAAAAGAAAGTTACATTTTCATCACTGTTTCTCCGTACCGCTATATTTTCGGAGGCTGAAATTTTGTATGTAGGTTCGTTTTATGTTGTAGATGTGCAATAATGAAGGATTTTTTTAAATTTCAACTGGGTAGCCAGCCGCGNGAAAATTCGCTGTCGCTCATTTTATTGAGGAAATCAACAAAAGTAATATCAATGGCAACACAATCAACGGATAAAGTGTTCAAAATGACCTCCATTTAGTCTACTTTCGAAAGCGTTCCTTACATTATTGAAGATGCCGGAGTCAGAAATCGGCACTCACGAACAATTCTCTGTCGCAGGTGTTCTGTTTGACGTATTGATGGCTCACGTTGTGGTCTGGATGATTCTTATTATAAATTCTTGCAGCAGCTTTAGCACATTCATTATTTCGATAATAGGTTGCAACAATTACTATTCTTTCTTCAGTGGAATACACCATGTTTGAACACAGTGAACAAGGATGACTAAATAATAATTCGTGAAGAAGTGGCAGTGGCCAACTATCTACTTTCAGTTCTGTGACAACTAGATTCAACAAAAACTACCAGAGAAGAAAAAACTAACAGTGTCGTCCAATTCAAAACGTTTACTACTAATTAAATAAATTATATAAGTCTAGAAAACCTGCGACAGAGAATTGTTCGAGAATGCCGATTTCTGACTCCGAAAATCTTCAATAATGTAAGGAACGCTTTCGAAAGTAGACTGAATTATTGTATGGAAATAGATGAACGTCATTTTGAACACTTTATCCGTTAATTGTGTTACCATTGATATTACTTTTGTTGATTTTGAACAGCGAATTTTCTGTTTTTTCTTAAATTAAACGTTCAACATTCAATTACTCAATAACGAATGAAACAATTTCGAAACAAATTATAGAAATAATAGAGAGACGAAAGACCTTTCAAATGATGTATCACTTGACCCCCCATTGCCATTGAAAAAAATAGAAGGGGGTGAAGTTTCGTGTATGATTTCAATATTATAATTAGCCCCCTTAGAAATACAAATTGACGTATTCTTCGAAATTTTCGATTACACGTCCGTTTCTGACACACAGGGGGTGTCCTAGTTTTCTTTGGAACGCCCTGTATATGAAATTCAGTTGCTACACTGTAACGTAAGTATATTCACAATTTACTAAAGTTGAGAAGTTCCGTCTACGGTTTGTTACGATACTGAGTGTCTGGCAATGTATTTCTAATATTATGCCTAAGAAATCATAAGAAAATTTCGCTTTTTTTTTGTCCTTTGCTACCTGTTATCTGCAAAAGCCACGATGATCCAAACTTCATATTAGCTCATAATTCCTTTATGTTTCAGAGGCATCAGCTGAAAAATTTTCAGCTTTCATGAAATGAAGAAGATCTGACATTCATGTGCTTATACATAAAACATTTCATCTTTTACTTTAATAATCATTAATACACCACACTTTCACTTCAGATTGTGATATATGAACGCTCCCATTGATTTACATAATGAAAACGTTCTTAATATAAAGTAAAATGTAAAGTTTTGTGTACGAATTGGTGTAGTGTAGGTGGTGTAGACTATTCCAAATATATCTGTAATTTCTTCGAAAAATGTATTTAAAAAATCTTGTACAGTTATGTACAGTCAATATGAACTAGTAGTCTATTTTAAGCATGTATTTCATCAAAAACTTCAATAAATCTTTATTCCAGCGATAATATGATTGGCGCATACCCGGCAAAGTTAAATAAACCGTTTGAAATATAAAATCAAATCGTGGGATTTGTTTAAAATACCACTCGAAAAAATCTGAAAATGTACTTGAACGAAATATTATTTGAAATACTATTATTAGAAGTGGAAAATAATGAAAACCAGACTCTCGTTTTTTTCTGTGAAGTACGATAACAGCAGCGACTAGATTCTGGATGAGTGGCTGATGTTTCGAATAGGCATTCGTGCTTTGCCCTTGATTGTGGCAATAGACCGATCGCTAGCGACATTTTCAGTTGGCGTGAAAATCGTTTATTGCAAAAGATGAAATAAATTACTATTTTCCCAATACCACCCGTGATATTCCGCAGCATTTTGTTAATTAACACTTACGTTTTGAAAAATGAGAAATAATACTCTCTATGTTTTTTTTACCACTTTTATTTGTAACCGACGATACTGCAGTTTGGTCCTATAAGGGCATATTTTGAAAATGTCCTTACAGGACGAAACTGCAGTAAAATTAGTTACTAATGAAAGTGGTAAAAAACATAGAAAGTATCATTTCTCATTTTTTTATGATAATCTCCTACCACGTAGTAACTACTACATCCATCATTTCACTGTTACGTTTATGTGATATTTAAACGATTTAAATTCATTTGTTTGAAGGTGATTGACAATGTTTCATGATGAATTTCACTAGTTCGGACTTCCATTGTCTACTATATAAAATGATTTGAAATCCCTGAAACAACTAGAAGAGACGAATTAAAAATGAATAGCTGAAAATAACAAGTATATTAATCAAAAACATCTGAAATGAAATAATAGTGAAATAAAATACAAGTAAAAATAGAACAATTGAAAAAAAAAAAATAAAGAAATGAAAAAAGAAAATAAAAATAAAAAGTGGAGAGATTCCAAGTCACGTTAGTTTACGACGTTTCGATTGTTAGTATCTACAATCGTCTTCGGGTGATGACTGGACTGATTCCTCCGAGAGATGACATTTACCGATGAGAGAGTTTTCGAAGTGCTTGAAAAGAGGGTAGTCGATTG